ACGGAATCTATGGTAATTTGTTACGGCAGCAACAGGAAGTTAATCCAAGGTTCTTATTTGAGCTTTCCTTTTGGTGGAAGAGGGATAAGAGCAAGGGGAGGGGATGGTCTGCTTCCTTAGATATTTCCACCAACAGGGTAGACAGGCATTTCATTGGCAATTCTGTACTTGTATTTTTACTCGCAGAAGTGAAATGCTTCAGAATGGTGCCAGTGGCCATACAGGGCTGTTTAAACCAATCAGAACGATTTCAAATTAAACATTTAGTTCCCAGTCTCACTAGACACTTGCCAAGGGCTCCATAGCCAATAGGGTGAGTGGCAAATGTATTGGGCAGTCCAGATACAGGGCATTTCCACCATTACAACAAGTTCTATTAGATTTAGTGGATCTGGTGTGTGGCCCAAGAAAGTGCATTTCTTGGCCAAGTGTATTATTTTAAAAGTATGTCTTTGACACACACTTTTTGACAATCCTTCCTTCAAAAGGTGGAGGCTTCTTTTCCTCCCCTTAAGTGTAACCTAGATTTTGTTCAATGTTAAGAGATGGCCATGTGATTTCAAGACAAGGTTCCGAAGAGCACAGCAGTTTCCATGCCCTCTCTCTTGAATCACGCCCTCTGGGAAAGCCGACCCCCATGTCTGGAGGACATGTGAGCAGCCTAGGGAGAAAATGCGGCATCCCACCAACTCCTGGCACAAATTTGCCAGCTGCTTGTGTGTGCCACCTTGGAAACTGATCTCATGGAGCCTTTGGAAGAGACCACAGCTCTGGGCGACATCTTGTCTGCAATCTCATGGGACACCAGCCAGTTAACCCAATCCTAAATTCCTGACCCACAGAAACTGTGAGAAATAATACATGCTGACTGGTGTTTAATGCCACTGAATTTTGAAATACTTGCAATGTAGCAATAGATTAACAATATGCCAGGTGACACCAATGCCACTGGTCTAAGGATTACATTTTGAGAACCACTGGTCTAGCCTTTATGCTGTGTAAGGCAAAGGATATTCCGCGCCCCCATGTTGAAATGTACTGCATATTTATTTTCTTTTTTTCTGCAGATATATTCAGTTACCACCAGTTGCTCTTTTGTGGAAGTGTTTTTACTGGGAAGAATAACAACAATATGTCAAAGGATAGCTAGGACCCAGAAGCCCATTTCTGTCCACTCAGTCATAAAAAATGTTCTGCATATGGATGAAGAACCAGACAGGTTTAGTGAGAAGAGGAAATGATTAAATGACTGGACCATCATTCTCTCTCACACTCTTAAATCTGAAGGTGAACAAGATGAAGAAAGAAAACAAAACCCCTGACAAAAGAGGGAAAGATAGCCCTAGGATCCAGGAGAACAAGCGGGTGTCCAACTGTTAAATAATGAGAAACTGAAGCTTCCTTCATTGTGTCAGAGAGGCCAATTCCTGAGCCAGCTGTACAGGAAGTGGGGAGTTTACATTATCTGGGATGTCAGTGAGAACCAAGGGGACATGCTTCCTGTCTGGTTCTCTCCAAAGACTAGCAGACTCTCCAGCAAAGATGCCTTTCCAGGGGTTTCATTTCTGTTTTCTTTTCCAGTTGGTAGATGTGGGCCAAGAAGGGGAAGGCAGCTCCAAGAGCAAGGGAGAGGTGGCCGTGAGTACCAAGTGCCACAGAGAGAAGAAGCCTGAGCTGGAGTGTGGGGGTACCGTGAGCCAGGGAGGAGCAAGAGCTGTGCCTGCAGGATAATCTCTTCAATTTGGGCAGTGCCAAGAACAGCTGGCCAAGCAGATCCACATTGGTAGACCCCATTCCAATGGATGGTGTTTCTCTGGCTTTTCCATTTGTTTTATAGAAGCTTTAAATATGACATACGATTCCATTTATAGAAAATTCTTGAAAAGGCAAAACTAATTTGGAGTGACAGAAAACAGAAAAGTGGTTGCCTGGGGCCAATATGGGTGTGGGGTCAGTGGGCGGGGGTGAGGGGTGCGGGGAGGGGAAGGGAGGTGGGGAGGTGATTGCAGAGGGACATATGATGTTCTGCTTTTTTTGTTTTTGAAACAAGAGTCTTGCTTTTGTTGCCCAGGCTGGAGTGCAATGGCATGATCTCGGCTCACTGCAACCTCCACCTCCTAGGTTCAAGCGATTCTCCTGCCTCAGCCTGCCGAGTAGCTGGGATTACAGGAGCCTGCAACTGTGCCTGGCTAATTTTTTTTTTTTTTTTTATTTTTAGTAAAGACAGGGTTTTGCCATGTTGGCCAGGATGGTCTTATACTACTGACCTCAGGTGGTCCACCCGCCTTGGCCTCCCAAAGTGCTGGGGTTACAGGCACGAGCCACCGCGCCTGGCCACGTTCTGCATTTTGATTGTGGCAGTGGTTACATGAGTGGAGACATTTGCCAAAATTCATTGAACTGTTTACTTATAATGAGTACATGTTATTGTATATGAATGTTGTTGATCTTCAAAAATATATGACATATGAGGAGCCATTCGATGGGGTTGTCAATGACTGGTTTGGAAAAAGTCAAGAGTTATTTAATAGAAGGATCTGACTTACTGCAGCTCAAGAAGTGGAACTACAGCAAACGCACATACACTCTAGGAAATGGATTTCTACTCAATGGATTTTTCATGAATAGTCTTGCTCTGTCTGCCCTGCCCTGAGTTTGTTTTAAGCCAGGGTGATCTGAAGGTTTTTTGTTTTTCTTCTTATTTTCAGCTGTCCTGGAAACTTTGTAAAGGTATAGCCCTCAGTGTGATAGCAGCAGAATCTCTGCTCCCATGTGACCTGCTTGGTGAACTATAATATCTCAAACAATTCAGAGAGGAAAGTGATCCTATTCCAAGTGTCCTTTACCAATGAGGAGACTAAGGTTAAAAACTTGACAGTTTTGAGTCTTCCGGAAAGGTAGATGGGGTATATCAGGTACCAATTAGGATGCTTTAGGTTGGAAATAATCGAAACTCTAACTCAAAATGGCCTAAAATGGGAGGCTGAGGCAGAAGGATCGCTTGATACAAGAAGTTCGAGACCAGCCTGGGCCACATAGCAAGACTCTGTCTCTGCAAATAATAAAAATCTTAGCCAGGCACAGTGGCTTGCACCTGTAGTCCCGGCTACCAGCAGGCTGAAGTGGGAGGATTGCTTTAGCCCAGGAGTTCAAGGCTGCAGTAAGCTGTGATCACATCACTGCACTCCAGCCTGGGCGACAGAGGAAGATCCTAACTTTATTTACTTTTTTTAATGTTTGAGAAAATGAAAGGAGCTTGTCAAGCTCAGAGGTACAACGAGTTTCAAGCTTGTATTGACCAGGGCTCTGGCTCCATTTTTCTGCAATTCTCTGGTGCTCTTCTCTTCACATTGCCTTATCCCTTCGACTGGTTTCCTTTCTGGTAGGAAATGGCTGCAATTAACCTAGGTCTCATATCCTTATATTTACCATACCACACAGAAGAAGAGAAATCTTTTGACCCCAAGAACTAGAAAGAGTTCTGAGTTTCAGTGTGATTGGAACAATTCAAGCCTTCCCCTGAACTGATCGGTAGGGTTATCCTGACTGGCATTCCATCAGTCAAGGCCCACCCTGGAGCGCAGATGGAGTCCAACATCCAACCTAAATGTGGCTGCACCCAGCAAGGGGAGAGATGGAATTTTTGCAGAAGAGGCCACCTTTCATGTCCCACTACTACCCCCTAGACCAAAGCAGCCCATGTTCCTCCTTGGTGAGTGCAAGGTTTGAATGAGGCAACTGAGGCCAGTTACTGAAAGAAATTTAACTGGCTCCTGGGCGAGGTTCTGCGTTCCGACGCAAGGGGCCAGAGAAGTTCTGCTGACTTCATGGGGCAGGGGGGTGGGGGTGGGGGGTTTATGGCTATGAGGAAGAGCAACAGCTGAGTGCTCTGATTGGCTCCAGGGGAGCAGGATTGGGACTGGGCGGGCCGGGCCGCCATTGGTTGTTGGGTTGTTGGGCAGGTTTTCCGGTGCGAGAGCCGGCCAGGGTTGCATCAGCCAGAGCCTTCCAGGGGAGCCATGCGGCAGAGCTAGGTGCGGAGTGCAGCGCCTGGTGCCACGTGCAGAGTCAGGTGCTGAGTGCAAAGTGGGGGTTTGTCCGGCCTCCTGGCAAGGCAACCCGCCTTACAGTGAGAATTTCTTCCAGTATGTGGGCATGATTGTTTTAACTATCTCAAAGGTGTAAAAGGAACATGAATCTTGGGGCCCCAGATCACTAAGCTGAAGGGAAAAGTGAAGCTGGGAAGGCTTAGGGCAAACCTGCCTCCCATTCTATTCAAAGTCGCCCCTCTGCTCACTGAGATAAATGCATGTCTGATTGCCTGCTTTGGAGAGGATAATCAGAAACTCAAAAGAATGCAGCTATTTGTCTCTTACCTACCTGTAACCAGGGAACTCCCTCTGGACTTAGTCTTCCTGCCTTTGCTTCGAATTGTCCCGCTTTTTCAGACCGAAGCAATGTGCACCTTACATGTTTGTTGATGTCTCACGTCTCCCTAGAATGCATAAAACCAAGCTCTGCTCTGACCCCCTTGGGCACATGACATCAAGACTTCCTGGGGCTGTGCCATGGGCGTCTGTCCTCAACTTTGGCCAAATAAACTTTCTTTTTTTTTTTTTTGAGACGCAGTTTCTCTCTTGTTACCCAGGCTGGAGTGCAATGGCGCGATCTCGGCTCACCGCAACCTCCGCCTCCTGGGTTCAGGCAATTCTCCTGCCTCAGTCTCTCGAGTAGCTGGGATTACAGGCACACGCCACCATGCCCAGCTAATTTTTTGTATTTTTAGTAGAGACGGGGTTTCACCATGTTGACCAGGATGGTCTCGATCTGTTGACCTCGTGATCCACCCGCCTTGGCCTCCCAAAGTGCTGGGATTACAGGCTTGAGTCACCGCGCCCAGCCTAAACTTTTCTAAATTAACTGAGATGTGTCTAAGATTTTTGGGGTTCACAAAGGATATTTACTTAAGGTGTCTACATGAAAATCACATGGCCACACAGTAAATTTCATTAAGTATTTACTGTTGAAATGTTTTAAAATTACATGATCCAATAACCTGTGATCCTTTCAAAATTACTTTCCTCTGATCCGTGGCACAGAACAAAGAAGTCCCAGAGCCTCTGGGTGTTTAAGAACATGCTTTTGGTTTCCGTGAATTTTACCCATAATAAACATCTTGCTAAAGTTGCCTGTAAGAGGTAATAAGGTGAAAGGACAACATAAAACTAAACAAAATTAAAATTAACCCAGTGGGAAAAACTGAGGCTCAGAGGAGTTAGGTTGGCTGATGAGGATGTTAGTGGCAGTAGTTGGATTAAAATGCAAGTCTTTATTCTCTAGTCTGGTTCTCTCTTCAAAAATCACATACTGACCTCTGGGTGAAATCAAAGAAAACCCATTTTCTGCCAATGGATGATATGATGGTTAATTTTATGTCAACTTGGCTGGGCAACAGTGCCCAGATATGTAGTCAAACATTGTGCTGGATGCTTCTCTGATGGTGTTTTTGGATGAGATTTGCATTTAAATCTATGAATTTTTAGTAAAGTTCATTGTCCATAGTGTGGGTGGGCCTCCTCCAGTCAACTGAAGTCTAGAACAAAAGGCTGACCTCCAGAGTTTGAGACCAGCCTGGGCAACAAAACAAGACCCCCATCTCTACAAAAAAAAAAAAAAAGAAAGAAAGAAAAATTAGCCAAGTAGCACAAGCCTGTAGTTCCAGCTACTTGGGAGGCAGAGGCAGGAGGATAACTTGAGCCCAGGAGTTTGATTGCACCACTGCACTCCAACTGGGGCAACAGAGGATACCCTGCCTCAAAAAACAAAAAAAAACAAAAACAAATGCTGAACTTCCCCAAGCAAGAGGGAATTCCCCATCAGACTGCCTGCCTTCAGACTTCATCTGCAACACTGGCCCTTCCTGGTTTTTCACCAGACTACACTTGGATTCAAACTGGAATTTTTTTCTGAACCCCCAGTCTTCTGGCCTCTCCCATCAGATGTCGGACTCACCAAGCTTCCATAATCATCTGAAGCCATTCTCTAAAATAAGTATCTTTGATACACACACACATCCTATTGTTTCTCTTTCTCTGGAAAACTCAGACTTACACAGATGGTCATATACTCAAATGTCCACATTAGAGGTAAAACTACAATAGTTGTCCTGAGGACTGGGTTGTTTTGGTCATTATTGTTGCATAATAAACTACAACAAAACTCAGTGACTTAAAATGACAGTTCTGTAGTATTTCCTGTGATTCTTCCACTGTGGCTGGGCTTAGCTGAGTGGTTCTTCTGCTGATCTTACCAGAGTTCACTTGTATTGGTGCATTCAGTTGAACAGTCTCCTAGGGCCTGGGCTCAGTTGGGGTGCTGGGATGATTGGTCTTTCTCTCCATTTGGTCTCAGGGCCTTTCCCCTCCAGGGGTCTCTCCATATGATCCCTGATCCCTTCATCAGGGTAGGTGAACTTCTTTCATAGAAGTTCAGGGTATCTAAGTGCAAAAGCAGAAGCTGCAAGGCCTTCTTAAGGATAAAGCCCAGAATTGGTACAGTGTAACTTCCATCACAGCTTATTGGTTACAACAAATCACAGGACCAGCCCAGATTTAGTATGCGTCCAAGAACATGAGTACAGAAGGCATGGTTTATTGAGGGCCATGGACTTACTTAACAAAACCACAGTCCGAGTGTACCCTTATGCAATGGCATCCTTCAGTTCTATCACCATAGAAGATAAATTGAAGTCTGATGACTTTAAAGTGATGCCATATGGTGGCCAATGAAAAACCAGTGTGGTGAGATGGATTTCCTCACTGGGCCACAGAGTCAGTCTCACAAAATCCTAGTGGCATTGCAGATGCTAGTTTCTCATTAGTCCTCATCAGCACCCACTATCTGTATATATACCATTTTACTCTCCCTGCTCAGATTAGTCTGTTGAATCTTATTTCATGATTGATTATAACCATATTCTCACCAATAATGGGGCATAGAGGATTAAAGCAATTAACCTGATAGTTCATTCCAACACGCTATTTCCTGTAGTATGTACTAATGTCTTCATTTTGTCACTCAAATCAACAAGTACAAGTTGGAACTCTGGATAACAGCCTAAGACAGCCCTGATGCTCCATCGGCTTTAGTGACCAGGCTCCCTTGCCTGGTGTTATCTGTGGAACTTCACGTATTTTGTGATTTCTAAAAAGGTGAAGCACTTTTGAGACACTATGAATGTCATCAGTAGTCCCTGAGAAGAGCATCTGGGAGCTGCTGAAGGCAAGAACTGGGCAGGACGGACAGGTGGGGAGCACATAGCATAAGGCATCCCAGGCTGGGCTGTGTGATGTTTGGGGCACTAGACTCTCTGGGTAGCTGGGTTGGCAAGGCAAGAAACATGGCAACCAGAACCTTCTCCAAGACTCCAAGCCAAAACCTGCCCCAGATTTGGCTACTTGGTTATACCTGGAAGAGCCCAGGAGTATATTTGATATGGTTTGATTTTGTGTCCCCACTCAAACCTCATGTTGAAATACAATCCCCTGTGTTGGTGGTGGGGCCTGGTGGGAGGTGACTGGTTCATGGCGATGAACGTTCCCCTTCGGTGCCAGGCTCATTATAGGTTCTCACAAGATCCAGTTGTTTAAAAGCATGCAGCACCTCCCCACTCACTCTTTTCCCCCTGCTCCAGCCATGTGATGTGCATGTGCTTCCCCTTCGCCTCCTTCCATGATTGTAAGTTTCCTGAGGCCTCCCCAGAAGCAGAAGCCTTCATGCTTCCCATAAAACCTGCAGAACCATGAGCCAATTAAACATCCTTCTTTTATTATTGACTCCCCAGTCTCAGGTATTTCTTTACTGCAGTGTGAGAACTAGCTAATACAACATCTCTCCCTTTTTTCAAATTTGAGACAGGGTCTTGCTCTGTCACTCAGGCTGGAGTGCAGTGATACAATCTCAGCTTACTGTAGCCTCCACCTCCTGGGCTCAAGCAATCCTCCCACCTTAGCCTCCTGAGTAGCTGGGACTACAGGCACATACCACCACACCCAACGTTTTTTTCTCATTTTTTGTAGGGACAGGATCTTGCTATGTTGCTCAAGCTTTCCTAAAACTCCTGGGCTGAAGCAACCTTCCCTCTCAGCCTCACAAAGCACTGGGATTACAGGCATGAGCCACTGTGCCTGGCCAGGACTACATTTCTAACCCATCTCATGACTCCCAGAAAAAGGAAAGTCTAAATTTAGCCATGTTTTCAGAAACAATGCCCTTACTTGACATGAAATAAACAGGTCTTCGGGAGAGAGGTGCCAGCTCCTCGTTCATGGATGTGTTTATCCACCCAGGAATAGACACCGGCTGCGTGCTTCCTGCGTGCTGGAGTTTGTGAAGAGGAAGGGAGAGTCCCCTGCTTGGAGAAGCTTTCCACCCACAGATGCAGATGCCACCTATGCCACCAGTGGCAAGCGTAACTTCAGGATCACAGAAGAGGCCCCGCGTGCTAAAGGGTCACACTGGAATGAAGCATACAAGGCCATGTTAAGAGTAGTGAGAGTCGGTACTAGGGTCTGAATGTCTGGTCTCTCCTGAAATTCAGACATCGAAACCTAATCCCCACGGTGATGGTATTAGGAGGTGGGGAATTTGGGAGGTGATTAGGTCATGAGGGCAGGCTCTTGTGAATGGGATAAGCGCCCATATAAAAGAGACCCCAGAGAGCTGCCCGGCACCTTCCACCATGTGAGAACATAGCAAGAAGCCACCGTCTACGCACCAGGAAACGGGCCCTCACAAGACATCAAATGTGCCACCTCAGTGGGGGGCTTTCCAGCCTCCACAACTGTGAGAAATAAATGTCTGTTTATAAGCCACCTGCTTTATGGCATTTTGTTATAGCAACCTAAATAGACTAAGACAATTGGCGAGATCAGATGTGCTTGGCAAGGATTTGCGCAGACTATAGAGTCCTGCTGTGTGGCTGGAGCGAGGAGCCAGTGCTGTGCCTCACGGGGATCCAGTCCTTACCTTGCAGACCTGCCCAATCCTCTCAGCACCTCTCAGTGGTGAGCATGAGTGTCTCCGTTCTATGGATGAGGACCCAGATAACCAGATAGGTCAAGTGACCAGCCTCAGGTCACACAGCCAGTTCAAAGCAGGACCACTGCTGAGAGCCTGAAACAGGGGCGTCCTGAGCAGGAAGGAAGAGCATGCATCCTCTCATTCAAAACAGACATCTGGCTGAGTCCCAAAAGTAAAAGTACTCTGAATGGGTGCCATCCCTGATGGGGGGAAGGCAGCCCCCAGCCACCAGCCTGGGGAGACCACACAGTTGCTGCTGTCCCAGGGGCAGCTGGTCCCTTCCTCCCACAGACAGCAGCACCTGCTCACCAGATCACCAGGCACAGGCAAGATGAATGTTCACAGCACCACGTCCGGCTGAACTCTGCACAAACACGGCACCCATGGCAACCAAACAGAGGGCAAACACAGGAGCAGGAATGCTGCTGCGAGAACACGGCCCGGGAGTGACGGCCACAGGCCACCCACTTTATGGGCACTTACTAAGTGCCAGGCACCACATCAAGGATTCAATACCTTATTTAATCATTGATGAAGCATGATGAGGAATGTGCTATTGCTATCCCCTTTCACGACGAGGAAACACATGAGCAGAGTTGATGGGAGTTGTGTAAGGAGAGAACCGAAGGCTCTGTCTGAGCCTGGGTAGCCGATGCCACAACCAGCCACTGCCTCCATGCTACCATTGCCCCTGACGGACACCCAAGTAACACAGTCCCTCAGAAGAGCTGGGCCACTGAGCTAGGGTCGAGTAAATGACAGCACAGAATATAAGCTCTTCCAAGGCAGGAATTTTGTGTTTTGCTCGTTGATGGGATGCAAGCTTCTACAATAGTGTCAGGCATGTGGATGACTTTGAATAAGCGTGTGTTGGCCAGGTGCAGTGGCTCACATTTGAAATCCTAGCATGTTGGGAGGCTGAGGTGGGTTGCTTGAGCCCAGGAGTTTGAAACCAACCTGGGCAGTGTGGTGAAACCGCATCTCTACAAAAAATACACGAAAAGTTAACCAAACATGGTGGTGGGTGCCTGTAGTCCCAGCTACTTGGGAGTCTGAAGTGGGAGATCTCCTGGGCTTGGGAGGTCGAGGCTGCAGTGAACCATGATTGTGTCACTGAACTCCAGCCTGGGTGACAGAGTGAGACCCTGTCTCAAAAAAAATAATAATGTATTTGATGAAGAAAGTCAAGAACCAGAAAGCCACCCTGAGAGGTAAATGCTGAATTGGTCAAGTGACTTGATCTCACATATTGCAGCTTGAAATTCAGATTTCCTTACTAAGGTCTAATAGTAAAGTCCCTTAAACATGTCATTTTAAATATAGTATAATTGGTCACGGAACCACATCTTTAGCTCCGTTCTTGTTTCACACGGGAGAAGGCTAGGGGAGGAAAGTGACACGTTTATCGTCCTAGAAAGCTGCTGGCCTGAGAAGGATTTTGACCCCAGCACCTTCCTCAACCAGCCACACAGGCTCACCCTGGGTCGTCTCATTTAATCTTCAATAGTGCCACCACTGCTTTCATGACATGGAATTTTGGGTTCTCATTTACTTGATGATGGTGAGATTTTCCATATCACCGTGTGTCACAGATAGTCTGTCCCATGTAAACAATCATCCACATATTGCATCTACTCATGGCAAAGCCAGTGACCCTCAGAGGCTTTCCATGGTTTCTGCCCACTGCCCCAGGGATCGACTCTGACCTCCCCTGCTCAGGTATGTCCTGGTGACAGCAGGCATAGAATCTGCTGGAAATAATAAATACCATCCAGCAGCAGAGGGGGTTTCTGCCACACTCGCATTTTATTAGACCTGCGGGGTCTGTCAAGTGCGTTTGTTTTGCTCTCTAGATAAATGTGGAGCCGAAGGGTGTTTTTCTGACTGTGAATTCTTGGCATTTGTTCAGGCTTCTAAACAAGCAAAGTGAACACTGCCAGTGTCGTCTGGCACTGCTCAGAAGCGCTCAGTGAATAGTAGGATCACGGATGGGACCTGATCCAGGGGTTTCCAAACTTTCCAGGCAGTGGGACCCTTCTTTCCCTTACCCTGAAGTCCGTCATTGTATTATATTATCACATCATATGTATTCTATTATCTTATAGAGCTGGAAGTTCTGTGGTGAAGCCAGGCAGCATCTGGGGCCTCTCTGTCTGAGCCCTCCTTAACCTTCCTCTCGCCCTGGCCCGCAGCTTCTCTGGGATATCCAGGGCCTCAATTCACACATTTCCAGAAAACTGATCTAATCTAACCCCTTCATTACAATGGTGTAAACAAAGGGCCCCCGAGGCCTAGAAACTCAGCCAGGATGGCACGGTGAGTTCAGGACCCAGCTGGGGCAAGTACTGCCTCCCAGACTCAAAAGTCAGTGCTCTCTGTGTAGCCATCACCAGCCCAGACCTGCTTTGTTTCTAACCTGTGGCACTGGGAACACACCTGCCTGGGACAAGTGCCTGGAAAGAATGCAGCTCACCTGGCCAGAAGGCTCCCGGCAGGTCTTGTGCAAGTGGGTACATGCAAATGATCGCACCTGGCTTACTTGTGAAATGTGTAGATTGTAAGAAAGACAGTTCCGCGCCTTCCAGGGTTGACTTCCCCACCTGGCTTACTTGTGAAATGTGTAGATTGTAAGAAAGACAGTTCCGCGCCTTCCAGGGTTGACTTCCCCACCCCCAAACCCATCCTAGTTTAGATGTGAGAACCTGTCACAGGAGACAAAGCTCTCCCTGGTTGGCCTGACTTCCCACCTCTTGGTGAACATTTTTTCTTCTAAATGTGTTCTTGAATGCTCCCGTTCCTGTCCTTCACAAAGAGCACACTCAAAACCTTCTGTTTCAGCCTTTTATTTACCAGAGGTGGTTCAGAGACGCATCTGGCAAAAATGACACCTTGAGAGGTGAGTTAGAGCCGGGAAGGGCTCATTCAGTGCGGGGGTCTGCATTCTCCAGCGCAGCCCTTCACGGAGGCCATGGCGTCCTGGTCATCTCCAAGCTCCCTCCCAGCTTCAGATTGCTATGAACCTAAAAAAAATTGGAAACAAACCAGTCACCCTCTGTCGAGGTGGAGGAGTCCATCTCCAGCCCGGAAAGAGGTGCCACCCGTGAGGCCCCCGCCCTGCCGCAGGGGCAGATGAGCTCTTGGAAGAGCAAGTGCTGTGACTGATACAAAAACACGACAGAAATGCCTTGGGTCCCCACGGAGCACACCTACTTCAGTATCCTTTTCTTTTCTTCACCTCCTCAGTTACCTTTCTCCTTAGCTTTAACTGCTTGAGGAAAGCTGGCCAGATATAGCGGGGCCCTAGCATTTGTTCTGACCCCTCTCCTGTCTGCCTTGTCTCAGCTGATAGTGTGGTGCCAAGCCCTGAAACGGGAAGCTCCGCCTTCCTCCCTACACCCTCCCTCTCCGACCCTGCCGCACCCCCTCCCCTTCTCTTCCCTTTTGCCCTCTTCTCCTCTGTCCTGCATGCTTCTCCCTCCCTCCCTCATCCCTACCCCCTCCCCTTCCTCCTTGCACCTTTCTTCTCCCTCCAGCATCCCTCTCCTCATCCCTCCTGCACTCCTCCCCATCTCTGTATCCTCCCCCTCCCTCCCCGCTTCCCCCTGCAGCCCTCTCCCCCTCTTCCTGCACCCCTCACCCATGCTTGGAGGAAGGTCACATGGGGTCTTTGGCTGGAACACTTGGTGATGCTCAGAAATCCTAAACACTGTGGGCTCTGCTGTGCCTGCCAGAGAGAACAGGGAGTCCTCTTGGAGGCCAGACTCGAAGCAGGCAAGATGGAAGAAGCCTTATTAGGTCATCCAGCCTGAGCAAGGGGTGAGCCTCTTTCTTCTGCTCCCCAGCCCGTAAGAAATGCCTGATCTGGCCGTCTCCATTCCTCCATTCGCTACTGACTCCCTTTGGGAATGTGCCCTCCTCCCAGTGACCCACAGTCCTTGTCTGGCTGTGTCTTGTCCTTCTCAAGACCTGGAAAGGAAACCCAAGGAAAGACTTCTGCCCAGAGCCTGAATCTTCTCTATTCCCATCCTCCTGACCTCCCTTTGCATATTCTCCAGCACTGAGCACCTTTACTTTCCATAGGGCTGCTTTATCTGTTAGGTTTGTGGTTTATCCTCTGCCTCCTACACTAAAATGTCAAGTCCTTGAGGAAAGCACTGTATTCATTTGGGTTGGGTGTATATCTCAAGTGCAGTTTCCATAAATATTTATTGAATGAACTTCTTAGGCACTAAGAACCTTCAACGCATATTCTCTCACCCCCTAACCTGTGCTGCAGCTTCTGAGCTCTTCCTGCAGGGGGAGCTGTTTATATCACATGCCGCAGAAGGACAGTATCCTTGTCATTTCCTAACTCATTCTATCTGGAGGGCAACAGCTCCTTCATCTTCCATCTGGAATGGTGGAATAGCCTGAAGGACAAGGCCTAACAAGGCATGAACCCCTGAGGACAAGGCCTAAATATGGCTTCCTTAATGACAAAGAACAGGCCCTAAAAATGCTGCGGACTAAAGAGATCTCTGGGCAAGATCACAGCAAAGGGCAGCAGCCTGGGTCAATCTGTGATTTCAAGAGTTACAAAAGTTATCTTCCTTGGGTTAGAATTCCTCCTCTGCCCATTTGCTAATACCTATGATTCCACTGTGAGAACCGTATTTTGGAAAGCCCAACTCTATTTACAAGTGATAAGACTGAAATCCCAGAAAGGTGACATGACTTTATAAGCTTTAACACATGTTTAAATATCCAGGGAAGGGAAATACTTGAATTAGTCAACACAGAGTAGGCACAATGATGGCAAATGGGTCTTTCTTAAACACTAAAGGGCAACAGGAAGAGGAGAAACCTGGAGGGCTCAGCATTGGAAGATTAGGGTGGGAGCGGGGATCGACCGAAGAGGTCAGTGTGGAAGAGCAGAAAGGCAGGTGACGCCAACAACTAACTTTATCCTCTTCCCTTTCTGGGTTAGTTGTATTTAAAAAGGACACACCTGGCCAGGCATGCTGGCTCACGCTTGGGGCACTTTGGGAGGCCAGGGTGGGCAGATCACAAGGTCAAGAAATTGAAACCATCCGGGCGAACAAGATGAAACCTCATCTCTACTAAAAGTAGAGCATGGTGGTACACACCTATGGTCCCAGCTACTTGGGAGGTTGAGGCAGGAGGATCGCTACTGGAGGTTGTAGTGAGCCAAGATCGCGCCACTGCACTCCAGCCTAGCAACAGAGCAAGACTCCATCTCAAAATAATAACAATAAAAAAAAAGGACACATCTGAAGATTCTACCTCAACGTGGCCCTAGTTA